GGGGTGGTGGGGCTGGGCTGGAGGGCAGGCCCTGCGGAGGGGTTAGTGGCGCAGTGGGGCTGGGCTGGGGGGCAGGCAGGCGGCGCGGAACGAGTCCCTTGCGGGCGATAGCAGCAGAGTTAGTTGATGTCCCTGGGCTCTGGGGTGTCCGCGCAGCTGTACAGAGGGGAGAGCGCAGCAGCCCCACGCAATACACTCGCTGCTCAGCGCTTCTGGTTACTTTTGTTTTGTTGCTGCTGCTGTGACCTGGGTCTGTTTTTCCTGCACGTTTGGCTGGCTGCTTCCTTGAACGAGTCCCTTGCGGGCGATAGCAGCAGAGTTAGTTGATGTCCCTGGGCTCTGGGGTGTCCGCGCAGCTGTACAGAGGGGAGAGCGCAGCAGCCCCACGCAATACACTCGCTGCTCAGCGCTTCTGGTTACTTTTGTTTTGTTGCTGCTGCTGTGACCTGGGTCTGTTTTTCCTGCACGTTTGGCTGGCTGCTTCCTTCCCTCGGCTCTGAGCGCTGCCGCTGCTTCTGTTTTTTTGCCTGTTTGCTTTGTATGTCCTGTTTTGGCCATTACACATGTACACCCAGGGGAGCAGAGTGAGTTAAAGGTGCTTTTATTTTTTGCAAGCTTTTGCAGTATTTTCTGAGGGCCAGGGGGGAAATAGTTTCTATAAATTCTTCCCTAGCCCTTGGTAACTGATTGGTTCCAGTACTGGATAGTAACTGGGTAGGTGCTGTGATTAGGTGGTAGCTGTTGAAGGGACCATGTGGCGAAGCACTGCTGAAAAGTTGATTTCATGAGCATCTTATCTGAAGTCTGGTTCATGTGCTGAAGAAAGTTAGGCTGGCGACTTGTCCTGTTTGACTTCTTTGATTTTAGTGATTGATCACCACATCCCAATTTAGATCTCCACATAGTAATTCATTACAAAGACTATTGCTTTTCAGTCTGATAAGAGGCCATAATCTTTCCTTCCACCCCTTTGATTGTGTGTCTATGAAGAGATGCATTTGACATTCACAGATGTCAGCACAGTGAACACAGCACAAGTGTGTCCAGCTTAGGTTGCAGAACTGTTTTGTCAGCCTTTCAAAACATCAGACCTGAATTTAAGAGGTTTTGCTTTATACAAAAAACAAATGAGACATATATTTGACAGTTTCACAGTAGATAATAAAAGGATTTGGAATGGGGCAGAGGGAAGATGGGATATCTTTTCTAACCTGAGAAGTAAGATCACATTTCCAGGCACAAAATGCACAGCAGTTCAATTTCAGCTATTAACTGCATTCCTAAGCTTTAATTTTATTTCATTGTTATGAAATAATGTAGTCATACTCTTTTTTTAAAGAAAAATCCAGCTTCAGTGTTGTGTGATATTTATGCCGCAGAATAATTGACAGTCCAAGGAAAAATACAGAGATGATCCATAAACAGTGGCTAAACATGAGTAAAATAATGCTTTAGCAAGGCTGACAGCTTCTGTCATGGCATATATTTAGATAGTAACCTAACAATCTCTGCTGTTTACCTCTTGCCAAAAGTTAAAAGTACTGATGTTGAAGTAGTTATAAGTTAAGTTACATAGAATTAGTTAAAAATATCATCTTTGTAACTGAACCTTTGGGTTCAATAAAAAATTAATCAGTCTGGATTTCCTGGATAGCGCTGTAGCTTGAATATGCTGTCAATATATAAAGCAGTCCACCATCTTTAGACAGAAGTGTTGCTATCCCATAAATACAGTAGAGCCCCATATGTTTAGGATTTTCAATTTTTTTCTGTTAGAAAGTTTGAAAAAAGAGACTTTGAAGTATTTTGTTTATACTAACAGAAGAGAAAAGTTCTCCTAAGAAAAAGCTGGTGGCAGGAGTGTAGAGGAGTAGCATATGGCATTAAAAGGAGCACAGCTGGAGGTAGCATTTCCATCTGAACATGATGTCAGAGCAGCTGACAGCCTGCCATCCCTCAGCCTTTTATTCTAACACACAGACAGGGAGTTAGTGTGTGCAGATCTGTGTGTGGAGAAGGTATCTCATTCCTCTCTAACATCATCTCCACTTTGCATCTGTCTCTCTTAGTCTGCTTTTTTTCCACCGATCTAACAGACCTGGAGCCAGCAAGACTCAGAGGAAAGGACTTAATCAGGTTTATGTGTTCTAAAGGTAGGAGTAGTAATAGATTAGATGCACCATATTTCTGTTTTGATGTGTTTATTTAATTTCAGAAAAATCACATTACTTTTCTAACCAAGTTTAGAGACAATATATGAAATGGAAATTAAATGGATAAGTGTACTTTCCGCAGTTGAAAAGCTTAGGATATAATAGTATAAGAGTGTATGTTCCTGTGCCTGTTATCAGAAGAAACTTTTAAATATATGTAATTATTTTAGAGTATTGAGATAAGTTCATTCATAATTTTTTACTAAAATTGAGAAAATTGTAGTTGCAGGCAGTCTGAGGGTTCTGGTTTCTATTTTGTATTTTCTAAGAGTGATGGAGCAACAATATGTTTTGGAAGAAAATGTGAAAAGGTATATAAAAATAATTACAGTTTAAATGTCTTGTGAGTTCCACTATTAAACTTCATGTTTAAGATCCATTAGCCTGCCCTGGAACTACAAAAGCATACAGCTGTACTGTCTGAAAGATAGAAATCAGTTGTGTGTTTCAAAACTTTTGTCCCCAGGAGAATTGCTTGACTAGTTTCCTCTTTTCGTTCTCAGATGCACATTGGAGATCTTTTATTTCAGCATAACAATAATTATTTGAGGGAGTTTTTGTGTTCGCGACTAATTTAGAACTTGTAGATTTGAGCTGCCTGAATTGGCCAGACAGCTGTAATCGCACTCCTCTATTCTTAATCTCTTTATCTGGGCAGCAGCTGCCATATGGCCACAGTCAGCTGGATCAGATGTTTATAAGCTTCCTTCTTCGTCCCTCTCTGTCCTTTCAGCCTCCTAATTTGATCACAGCTACCTTGTGAGCTGCCCTCCAATCTTTATTTTTAGCCCTCTTAAGGATTAGGATTGATGTTGGCTGTGGGGCACTTAAAGTGATTGTATTGTAAATCTTCTTGCTTTACTCTGTAAAATACCATTGCTAGAATATATTTTAGGTTGGGTTGTAAGTTTTAGTACATCGTGGTTTGTGAAGGATAATTATTTTTCAGTAACACATACCAACCCCAAAATGCACAATTTGTGTTTAAATGGTTTCAGAGCACTTTGCTTTTAGTCACAAAAAAATTAGCCTTTTTTATTAAATTAAAATTTTACATTGTAGCTTAGTTACGACTCTGACACTTCCTTGAAGACTTTCTCCTCAAGGAAGGTTAGAAGGAAGACAATGCCTTTGGAAAAATAGTATCTAAAATAGCTGTCCTGAAACACTTTCTTTTAGTTTGGCATTGGAAACTATAGGGGAAAAGCATCTCTTTGAAAAAGAGAAAAGTCCTCTTGTATAACCAACACTTATCATTTTGTCTGTAGCTTTCTTCAGAAGTTTTTATATATTAATATAAAATATTTCTCTCATATTGCTTGGGGAAAGTTTAAAACCTAAAAATGTCAGCATAAGTGTGATTTTTTTTTTTTTTTTTTTTTCCCCCACATAGCTTATTCTGCGTTAAACTTCTAAAATCTTTGCTTTTGCTATCAGTAAATATTTCTTACATCTGTTTGGGATCCCTTACATATGTAAGTTTTAAGGTATTAACATCTGTCTTCATGCAATAAGCTCTCTTTCTGGTACAATTTGACCTTGCAAAGAAAGTTGCTTAATTCTCAAAATACACTTTATTTTCTTTACCTGTGAAAATCCCACTTTTAAGCCTACAGTATTTTGGAGCCTGCAGTATTTTGGAGTCTATTTTAAATCTATTGTTTTAAAGTAGCTTAAAAGGGATCATTAAACATATTTAAGGAACAACAATGATACTTTTAAAAATGAGTGGTTGCTTACCTAAATGCCTATCAGAGGCCGTTATCTGCTGTTGTCTAATCATAAAAAATTAACTTCAGTGTTTTTTGGGGGGTGTTAATAATTTTTGTATATATTAGTTGTGGTGTAGTTGTCACTTAATTAAAATCCAGAGGATTAAATAATAGTTACTAGTGCATAATTTGCACATGTAGATTTGCTGTATTTTTACCCTTATTTAATTTAAAAAAATTTTTGCTTATAGGTTATGAAGACAATATGGAGTTTCCTGATCATAGTAGACATTTGCTACAGTGTCTGAGCGAGCAGAGACATCAGGGTTTTCTTTGTGATTGCACGGTCTTAGTAGGAGATGCCCAGTTTCGAGCTCACAGAGCTGTACTGGCTTCATGCAGCATGTATTTCCACCTCTTTTACAAGGACCAGCTGGACAAAAGGGACATTGTTCATCTGAACAGCGACATTGTTACAGCCCCAGCTTTCGCTCTCCTGCTTGAATTCATGTATGAAGGGAAACTCCAGTTCAAAGACTTGCCCATTGAAGACGTGCTAGCAGCTGCCAGTTATCTCCACATGTATGACATTGTCAAAGTCTGCAAAAAGAAGCTGAAAGAGAAAGCCACCACCGAGGCAGATAGTACAAAAAAGGAAGAAGATGCGTCAAGTTGTTCGGACAAAGTGGAGAGTCTCTCCGATGGCAGCAGCCACATAGCAGGAGACTTACCCAGTGATGAAGATGAAGGAGAAGATGAAAAATTGAACATCCTGCCTAGCAAAAGGGACTTGGCGGCTGAGCCTGGGAACATGTGGATGAGATTGCCCTCAGACTCAGCAGGCATTCCCCAGACTGGCGGAGAGGCAGAGACACACGCAACAGCAGCTGGAAAAACAGTAGCCAGCCCCTGCAGCTCAACAGAGTCTTTGTCCCAGAGGTCTGTCACCTCCATGAGGGATTCAACAGATGTTGACTGTGTGCTGGACCTGTCTGTCAAGTCCAGTCTTTCTGGAGTAGAAAATCTGAACAGTTCTTATTTCTCTTCACAGGACATGCTTAGAAACAACCTGGTTCAGGTGAAGGTGGAGAAAGAGGCTTCCTGTGATGAAAGTGATGTTGGCACTAATGACTATGACATGGAACATAGCACTGTGAAAGAAAGTGTAAGCACTAATAACAGGGTACATTATGAGGCAGCCCATCTGGCTCCTATGAGGGAAGATTCTGTCTTAAGGGAGCTAGATAGAGAGGACAAAGCAAGTGATGATGAAATGATAACTCCTGAGAATGAGAGAGTCCAGGTGGAAGGCAACATGGACAGCAGTTTGCTCCCTTATGTGTCAAATATACTTAGCCCTGCTGGCCAAATTTTTATGTGTCCTCTCTGCAACAAAGTCTTTCCTAGTCCCCACATTCTGCAGATCCATTTAAGCACGCACTTTCGGGAGCAGGATGGGATTCGCAGTAAGCCTGCTACTGATGTCAATGTCCCGACCTGTTCCTTGTGTGGTAAGACTTTTTCTTGCATGTACACCTTGAAACGTCATGAGAGGACTCATTCAGGTGAAAAGCCCTACACTTGCACCCAGTGTGGGAAGAGCTTCCAGTATTCCCACAACCTGAGCCGCCATGCTGTGGTTCATACCCGGGAGAAGCCACATGCTTGTAAGTGGTGTGAACGCAGGTTCACACAGTCTGGAGACCTTTACAGACACATTCGGAAGTTTCACTGTGAGTTGGTGAACTCGTTGTCTGTCAAAAGTGAAGCACTGAGCTTACCTACTGTCAGAGACTGGACCTTAGAAGATAGCTCACAAGAACTTTGGAAATAATTTTTATATATATAAATAATATATATACATATATAAATATCTATATAGTTGTGGTACAGTCTAAAAGCAATCTTGTTTCCTTGACCTGAAAGTTTGGCTGTTTGCTTGTTTTTGCACTTTAAGGCAGCATGAACAGTTCACTAATTTAGCACTCTGAGCAAATGAACTTTAGAAGTAATATGACAAAATAATAAACTACAGAAGATTTTTTGCCCCACTTTTTGGAATATGAGCCAGTAGATACTTTGCTATTAAAGGAAATCTCATTGTAAAAAAACATAAAAATTAAATGGCTTTATCTTCTCCTACCCCTCAAACACTGCATTCTCTCAAGACTCAAAAGTTTTTCATTATTTTAAAAATGTGAATGTAGAAGTTCCCTTTAGTTTTATCAGTTCCTTTGCATTTCTAAAATTGTATGAGTCCTTTCTAGCTGTTGGAAACCTGAATGCTTTTAGACACAAATGGAAAATTTCTGAAATGCTGGATTATCTATTTTTAAACAAGCAGTTGACTTAAAACTTATTATGGCAACTTCTGGATTTCTGACAGTTCCCACTGGAAAAATAATCCTTAAAGTACACTGGGATCACTGGGACTCTGTGCAGTCTGTGAAGGTTTGCTTGGGATGAAAAAGGATATTGCAGCTTCAGCAGTGATGAACTGTGTGTTTAAAAATGTGAATTACTGTTCTTGTATACTGTAATTGATTACATGGGTGGGGGGTGTCAAAGAACTTGGCAGGTTGTGTTGATGCTCTTAGTTGAGTTTTGAAAAGTAAATATTAACGCTACAGAAATGCATGAGTTTCAGTATATTTTTGTCTTTGTTTGCATTGTATAACTTTAATGAGTAAGTTTAAAATTATTTAATTTCCTTAGGAAAAAGCACCACTGAAAAATTGGTGTTATGAAGAACATAAATGCACTGTTTTTTTTAAATATAATTTAAATTTACTTTCCCACTGTCTTTAAGTTCAATAAAATTTAAGCTACAAGATGATAATTTAGCAACATAAGAAGGAAGATATTAATGTTTACAAATAGGCTTAAAGATTTGCATGTGCTGTGTGCATTTATTAAAAGAAAACCTAATTGCACAAAATCCACGCCAGCTCAAACTTTAGATGCATACATTTACCCAGAGGAGA